TGTGCTGTTCATGACATATTTAATTTTATTAATTCTTTAAAAGCAAAAAAATTAACTGCAATTTTCCCACCAAGGAGTGTGTGCCTGACTAGAGTGCTGATTTAGATCTATCAGAAAAAATTAAAGGAACTGTTTTCTTAGTTTGATGGACCAAATTACAAAATGGAGCAAAACTGACATGCATAGTCCATTGCAATGGTCAGGACTGATTAGACTTTCAGAATTGGACTTGAGCATTTGGTAAACAATCGGCTGAAGTAAATGAAAGTGGTGTGAAGCAGTTTGCTCAGTCAATCCGCACTTCATCTGGAACACTAGCAAGGAAGTCCGAGTTAAGGAACATTTATCACGTTTATCACGGAATAGAGAACATCTGAGGTGGCAGCAGTAAGAGTGTTTTTTTCACAAATGATTACTGTGCTGGGTGGGGTGGGGAGAGTGTTAATGGAAACTGTTGCTTTATTCTGGTGTGGCCAGTGGACGTGTGTTGATATGGGTAGGGATCTCCTTTAACACAAGAACATATCTGAGCAGTAAGGTTGCCCTCGGTTTGCACTACAGATATGTTGTCGAAGTCCTTGAGACAACAGCTTTTCTGTTCCTGCAAGCCAGTCTGAAAATGTAGATTTTTCCAGCACGACAAAGCGATACCACAAAGTTAAAGGATTACAGTGGAATGATTTCAAGAAAACAATGCTGTGGTCTTTCTGTAAGCAGTTGTTTCTCATGACCAGGGTCTGCGAGTCCAATATCTGTGGAAATTGTTTGCCAGGGACATATTGAAAATAGGATACATATGAGACATTAGCTAACTGCTGGAAGATCTAACAGCAATCTATGCAAAAGATGATCTGGCCTGCGTGTCAATGTTGCCAGGTTTGTTAATGCACAAGAATGTGGCCTAGCATTAAGTTCGTAACCCTTTCTCTCTGATTTGTTTCATAACAAAAAGTCTCTTTGATTTGTACTTATTAAAATTTTGTTTAATCCTCAAATTAAACTTTTTTGATCTGAGTCATTAGATCTGACTGTAGCATTTCTTTTGCACATCAGTAAGTTATAACGACAAATGTGTTAGATTTTGTGCCTAATTTGTACTTTTTGGATGTTTTGATTATGTTGGGCAGTAAATGTTTCAGAATTTTACTTTAGTACAGTACATTGTAACTGACAATTGAGCATACACATCATAACAAACTGCTCAGTAACAAATCTACAAGAACTGGGTTTTGAATACACCTTGGTCTCTTTTTGGAAGATAATAGTAACATCTGTTGTGGTGTTGTTTAACGTAACAATACCACTTGAACATGATCCAATGAGCTCTATTATAATGTGAACTATTCATTATTTACTGCTTTTAAATTTTATAATTAATGTAGAAACAATCAAGAAAAAAGACCAATGTCACAATCGCCATAAACAATATGTATGACAGACATCTGCTTATTTATCATCTTAAAGCTGCAACACCTATTAAGCCAAACAACTGACAACAAGAACAATAATTCTATGTGCCTTTAATTATTATTATGGTCTGGGCAGTGACTTTGATAAGGCCAAGAAAATACATTGTACAGGAAGGGACGTAATCTCTCTTGGTGTAAAACACAGCAGAAACACAATTACAATATATCTTTGTTAATATAAGAAAATGTAGAACTCAAAACTAGTCGGCATCTGCCAATAACTCCAGCATGCGGATATTAATGTGTAAAACCACAGGATACAAGGACAATGTGCTTAGTATGCCGTGCTATGCACATCTGATCACAATGCATGTTAAACATGGCATACAGATACTGTACTATGGTAGTTGACATGAGTATAAATGTAGAAAAAAAAGAAAAGAGACCATATACCTTGAAGAGCTCCCACTCTTACAGTATCTATACGTTTGGGTTTTGAGATGATAACTATTTGTGATTAATCTATTCTGTATTCTTTGCAATTCAGAATTATGATATGGTTTAACAGATCATTATTTTGTTGTACAGGTGTATATACTGTACAAGAAGGTAATTCTGAACAGGAACATACAGTAGCTATACATTTTATTACATATAAATAATGTATATGTAAAAAAAATACAAACAATTAAGTGAATACATTTCTTTTGGATTCAATTATTTTTTGGCCTTCTGATTGCATAGCGTGCTGAAGATTTTGGATGACCATTAACGTTTCATTTAAAAAGAATGTTACCATTTACTGAAACAAGGAAAAAATAAAAATCCTGTTTGGTTTTGAATTACAGTATGTTGTAAACGTTTAATGTAAATTAGGTGTGTACACAAGAATTTATCATTGTTACCATGAACCCTTATTCATTCATATTTTGAATGAATGAATCTATATAAAACCTTTTGATCCTTCAATCCAAAAAAAAAAAAACACCAAGAGCCACAGGATCCCCTGAGCTTCTTCCGCCAATTACACATTGGAAAGCTGATCCTGAGGCACAGAGGCAGCTGTAAACAACAGACTTTCACTACTCCTTCAGATTGAGCACACAATCCCTACTGCATGCTGTGTGTGACATTGGAAGGGTGCATCACCAGGTTTAGGCTAAATTAAAGCTTTAATTTTCTGAGAACAGCTGAATTATTCCCAGATGGATGAATAGATATTATATCCTGCTACGTTCTCACCCATATTTGTTCTAAATGAAAGTGAATTGCTCCAAGTTGTACTTCTCATTGGGAATCTCTATTTTCATGTTCCATGGAAGTTATTAGCTGAAGTTTGGGAGGGAAAACAATGACACGTCAATCTCACACAGCTGTCCCTATTCACCTTCATTACAGAAATGAGCTATACAGTATACTGTATATAGAACACACATGCCTCCCTTTCAATTTGATTTAAGCTTCCCTTCTCCGTCCATCGCCACCTTGCTGCTTTGCCTTGGTTCAATCACTATGGGGTTCCAGCCTCCTCAACCTGTGACCAGCAGGCTGCCCATCCACAATGTGGGTTAAGCCAAACCTATCTCCCCAAATATTCCAACATTCCCAAAGTATTTAATTTTTGGAGGTGGTTGTCTCTAGTAAAATAAACTAACTTCTTTCCCTTTAAAATAAAAAAAAACAGCCTTTTTCCATTTCTTAATGTACATAGCCTAACCAGAATTCTGGAATTCAATTCAGGAAAATGCAGCTTAGACCTTTTTCCTTTCACATTTACAGTATATCCAGTGGTAATTAGGATTTATCATTGCACTGTTCCTACTTCAGATCACTTGTTATTTTGTTGCTCAGTTGCTCCAGTTCATTTAGTCCATTGGACATCGTTCAAGGACATGCAGAGGGTGACCGGATTGAAAGGAGGAGGATGGTGTGAGCACCAGAAATTTTTCAGTGCTGTGGTCCATAAACAGCTGATAGCATAATAGAGGATATCACACACAAAAATTGCCACATTGTCCGCAATTCATTTATTTCTTTTCCTCGTTGGAAGTGATTAATTACTAGTACAGCAATATACAAAGTAATTTCCCATAGCTGAAAACTGCAATTGAAATCGATTAAACATTAGCATTGCTAAATGCAATTTTAAATGCAGTCTGATACAGTATGGCCTTTAATGCAGTACTTGACCAAAATAAAATAATCTCAGGCTACCACATAATGTCACATTCCTCATGAAAGCTGGATCTTAATTGCTTTCCCTGCACATGACGGTGCCAACTTCTAGTCTGCCAAAAATGCAATACATAAATAATATTATTTCAATTAATATTATTAATAAGGACTTGTGTCTCTCAAGGAGAGTCAGGTGGATAGTACAGTGATGCATAAATGATAGAGAAATCGTTTTATATTAGAAAATCCTGTAATTAGGCATCCCCTGGCTAACAGACATTCTTCTATTTTTCAGGACAGGCAGGCAGGCAGGCAACTTTGAGATATGAGCTAGAGAACAATTATTATTTCTGAAAAGGCTTACTGTACATCCATCAATCAATGAAGGAGATTCCTTGCATGTTTCCCGATGGAGAGCTTACCACAAATTTGAGCACCCATAACCAGGAATACAGTGTGACTCAAAGGCATGTGCTTGGACAGAAAAATCATCCTGCACTCCACATAGGGCTCTCACTCTACTGAGAAACTACCAGTTTCCAAACATATGAAACATTTAAAGCCCCATGGATCTTGATATTCACAAAGTAAGTGAAATTAAAAATATTGAGCACTTAGGTAATATTTCTTTAAATTGAAATGCTGACTGTTGAAACAGCTGTCTTAGGTGTGTGTGGGGGGGATTGCCATAATGTTGTAGATGATTTAAGGGCACTGTTAATAATTTCGCCATTTCCTTTTCATGCTGTTTAAGCACAGAAATTTCATGCATGTGTTCAAGCTATCTGATCTCTACTGGCATTTGTTTGTATGTGCAATCATTTCTTTGATTAAATTTCTAGTGCATCAAATGTCTAAGCATTCTAATATCAAGCACAGTAAAATCTCCAAGGAGAAAATGTGGCAACTCTTTTCGTATTGTTTCAGAAGCATAATATATATAATTTATTTTAAGAAAAATGTTTGGTTACTCATTGTGGAAGACGGTCTTAATTCACACGTGATATGCAACAGCCGTTAAGAGGGTGGAAAGAGCTAACAAAAGAAGGCATGTCAAGCAAAAACTGTCCTCTAAGGAACCTGGATATCTGCATGTGTGTGTCCCTAATATCCCTTGAGAAAGCAGCATGTGTGATGCACGAGAACCTCTTTATAAAAAAAAAAGACCACACTCCTCTGACTTCACTCCCTTTATTTTCTGCCACTTTATAAAAGAAAAACTTCCTAAGATCCTAAATCAGTATAGCCAATAGCTCTCTTTCAACCCTTTCAGAAATGTCTACAACTACTGTAAATATATACTTTCTGTGAAGGGTGTCACAAGACAGAGGAGCATGCTGCTGGATTTCGATAACCACATCCTTCTATCAGGAATAGTACAGAATAAAAGAAAACAGATTTGCAAACAGGACTCACCAAACGCAGGAGTTAGCATCTGATTATGGTGCTGAATAAAGTAGTGTGTCTCTTCGGATGTAATATCTTGGAAGGTTTTGCCTGTATGTGCCCGAGCCTGCTGGTTGCTAGTAGACTGTTGCTAATCTCTGCCTAGCTCCAGGAGGAGTGCTGATGCAAAATGCAAAGAAGTCAGCTGAGAATAGCCCTAATTGTAAAGAACACACGGCAGCACCCTCCCTCCTTGCTGCAAACACAATCTCCAATCTGAGTGGATTATGGTAATGAGTTAAGACGGGTGCCACAGTTATCCACACCTACGGTTTGGAGAAATTGCCCTTGACACAGTAATAAGATGCAAATACAAACGCATACAGTACTGTACTGTGCAAGGTTGCTCTAATTCATGCATTTGTTTTTAATAGCGAGGATATGAGTGTAAGTTTTAAGGTGAGCTCATGTTTATTTTTATGTTTATTATTGCTGACACTGTGTATTTATCATTAAATGATCATTATTGCCACAGATCTTCACAATATGTATCACTGACCTTTTGCAGGTTTGCTGTTTTTGGCCTGCAATGTTCCTAGCTCAGGTGATCAGTGATTTACCATTTTCACAGACAAGTAAACATTTATTTAATGAAAGTTTAATTTTTAATGTACTGTAGGTGCTAACCTTAAATGTTGCTTTTCTCTTTTGCACAAAAACTGCACTGTGTTGGTATAATGTGTAAAGTTAAAGGTGGCACTATTAAACAGAATAATAATTCTTAAGTTACTCATTGGATCAGAACATTGATGATCAAAGCTTCAGTTGCATCCATTAAGAAACAATTCATTGTCATTGTATTGAGATATTTGAGAGCTTTAAAACACAACAATTTAAGATCTAGGACTTCCTTTTGTGACACTAAAGAGTGCAAAGTTTGTGTTCTCATAGCTTTTTATCTCACCATGAAAGTGTGTAACACTCTGATGTAACTGCAAAAGATCGTAGCCATGCTATTATAATTAAATCAGTACATAAAACATTTTGCCTTGCAGGATACTGTCATTAAATCTGACATATCTGAGAGATTAGGAAATCATACGATAACGTAAAAGGCTTCACAGTATTTGTCATACAGTGTTACTGCGGGCTTGATTAATATTAGAAGGGGCTGTCATTTAAATGAATTAAACCAGCATATAACTACAGTATGGCCTTTATGAATTGCACAAGGAGCATTTTAGTTCAAAAGCTTTTATGATTTTTTCCTGTTCGTGTTTTTTTTAAAGATTATGCAGTTTTCAATTGGAATATTCTATTTTTTAAAGTAGGAGAATTTCTCACATGGTTTATTGATTGCCATGCATACATATTGATTTCTGCATGAGTGCTGTAATTATTGGGGGCACTAACGATCATTTAGCCATATTATTTAGTTGTGATTCAGGTGCACTTGACATGTATAATTAAATGCTGTAAGAGAAAATCTCTGACAAATTCCCACAGATATTTGAATCACTGTGTTCACAATGTTTTTAAGCTAATATATCATCATTATATTTTGACATCTTATATTCTAGAGTATTCTAAGACCAGTTAAACTGATAAAGTTATTTTTGTATTTTTTGTTTTGGAATATTTGTACAGTATAAGCAAAGCTGCAAACGTCAAAAGTAATTACTGTATTTCCAAAACAAGTGAAATACAGCTTACTTTTTATACTGAGGGTTTTGGTCATGCAAGCATTGTATTAGATGTTACAGTAAAAGTCACATGAAAGCATACTGTAAATTCATTATTAATGAGACCATAAAAGAGACCTATACCAGCAGGTAAGCTGATGCTTGTTAGTGCTAATTTGAGAGTGTGGTATATATAGAAGTGTTAATGAAAACCATGAACCAAACAGCAGGCTCACGTGATTGTTCATTAGAACTGGACATTTCCTAAAGAAAACATGGAAATTTTTGTAACATGTAAATTCAATTCAAATTTTAAATAACATCATAATCAATGTGAATGTAGCAAACATTCAACTAACCCAAGAAACAGAAAACACTTGTAAAAGTCTGAATTTATGTTATATTGTAATGCGTGAGCCAAGCAGATACTGTGGCCAAACTGAATCACTCACTTGGATTAATTGGACAGATTTAAACAAGCCTCAAAATTGCTCATGGGTAAATTGAAAAAAAAAGTCTTATTAATTATCACCTGTAATGAGCTTGAAAAAGATGTCCAATTCAACAAAAATCTGTCTGAATTAATTTAACAGAGATATTCAATTGGAAAAGAAACCAACTTGCAGAATTGCAATTTTATACCCTTACCATGGATAAAAAAGTAAAATATATCCTATATGGATTAACTACAAGATATTGAATGATATAGAATAAGCTCAGTAATTAAAGGGATCCTGATAAGGACTGTGTTGTCCCAACTAAAGAAAGAGACTAACTACTAATGGCCATGCGTAATATCTGCAGATCCACACTTGAGATGACAGGTTGAGATTTAACTGCGGGTCTCAGGTTGACTCAGGAGGCTTCAGAAATCTGAAGGTTCAGAGTAGCAGACCTAGATGATACAGGCAGATGGACAGGGCAGCCTGGCACGGTGAGGCTGACCCAGGAAAGGTACCCCGCTGGAATCAGTGCCTACTGTGGGAGCTACTTAAGGTATCTCAAAGTCAGAGCACTGATTCAGTGGGGTTTTGGGGCATAAATGTGGTTAGAGGTTTAGCTAAAGGTTGGATTGGATGACCGGGTCCCTGATTGAAAGGGAGAGGGACACACAGCCAGGCAGTCTCATGGGAATGCTGCAGCTACTCATAGAAACTGCAGGCTGCAAGCCACTCCCATCCTGGGTATGAGAAGGGGGGTACTTTACAAGACACCCTTGTGGCTAAATGGTTATGAAACATCCTTTACATAAATACCAGTTAATTAATAGATGTGTGAATCAGTACTTCATGCTGATTGTTCTTGTTTTAATTTCAGTAAGATTGCCTGTACCGCTCCCTGATTTTTAAAGTCAATGTTTGCTGTTGAGCGATTTTGTCATCCCTTAGTGCCTATGCACTGCATACACATGAAGTCACAACCCTGGTGTGCAAACATTGAAGCACATCCATGCCAGTGATTCTGCAGGCGGAAGACCTGTCTGCATGCAGTGTGTTACTATTTTGTTCAAGGTGTCAAGGATAGTCCACTCAGGCTCAGTTTGTCAAATTATGTTCTTGTCTTGTGATTGGCACAATCATGACTGACGTGAGTTGTGATGTTCATTCCCTCTCTCCACGTCTGTCTCATTATCTAGACTTTAAGTAATTGCCTGCACACACTGCACTAGTCACATCTCTGAAATGTACCTATCTGGTGTCAGAAATCAGTCAAAGCAAAAAAGAATACCCATTGTGCTTAGCAAGCTGAAAATACTTCTTGAAGAGAAGTGGATAAAATACAGCTTGGGTGGTTGCCAGATCCCTGAGAAACAGCTCAGCATGGTCCATTAACTTCTTTCTCTGCCTTCATTAGAATTTAAACAACAAAGCCATGCTATATGGCTTGGATATACACTCATCTAATATGTTTGTGCATTCATTGTAGCTGTACAGATGAGAGAATATAGAGTATACAGTATGTGTTTGAAGGGCAAGGATCCCTTTTATGTTGTGAAATTCTTCTAAAAATACAAATTTAGTTGAAATCAGTATAAACTAAGCGTAAGAATTGTCCTCATACTGTGAAATCAAAATCTAATATTAGTCTATCACCTCCAGCATCAGTGTTGGGGAACGTTACTGTACATTTACCAAGCAATTAATCTATAATAACAATAATAATAATTAATGAAATGTGATAATTAACAATAATAATACCACTCCAGTCAAAATGCTTTATAGGTAATGGGGACCCCTTCCACCACCTCTAATATGTAGCTCTACCTGGATGATGCAATGGCGGCCATCATCACTAATCTCACACTAACATCACTAACACTGTGTCATGTTAATCAAATTACTATGTAAAATAATACATTATCTCTAAAAAGGAAATTTCCCAACTACTTAATTTGAAAACAAATAAGACCCAGTGTAACATTTTTTTTACTGGAATACGATATAAAAGTAACCTTTTCCAAAACAGTCCAGCATGATACTGCTTGTCAAATGACCAGGTCTGACTTACCAGAAGAGTTCTCACTATAAGCATACAAATAAGAGAACAGGAGCCCTCTATGCCACTATGCCAGTTCCACAACTAGCAATCCCTGCTTTCCCCCTCCTTTCTTAGCACTTCTAGGACCTGAACCCAGGTCCAATAAGGCCATTGTACCTTAAAGGAACAAGCCATAAATTTTCAAAATAGAAAAAAAGCAAACATTACCTGAATGTATTAATGAGATGATAATCATGGTTTACTCAAATCTCAGCCCAATTCACAAGAACATAAATTGCCCAATATAATAAGAAAGACATCAAATGTGGTATATCAGATTTTATTCTTTTACAATTATGACCTCACAGTAACCTCAAGGTCAGCAGTCATGCTGTTGAAGTGGCAGTATCAGCCATCTTAAACTTAGTACATCTTTAATACATACTGTAAAACCTACAGTATGTCTGTGTATCCTGCAGACCGAAATAGGAACTGAGCAGTCTCCAGGGTAAAACAGGGTAAAGGATGGGGTTATGCTGCTGTAATTTGTGGATAGACAATTGTCATTCTGTTCCTCGTTTGAAGCACATCTACTGGTTCAAAGACGTACAGTACATGGTAAAAGAAAAAAAAATTGGAATTAAAAAAACAAAAGGTTATTTGGCCTCAAAAGAAGGTTACCCTGTCTCACTTTATTCGTTTACCTTTTTCAGTAAATTAAAAACATACTCAAAGATGACCTGGTCTGTGTCCCTAACCACTCTGCTGCCTTAGTATGAATCCGAGAGAGTAATAATAATAGTTAATAAGCTTTATTAATTTCACTGCATGAAACAACTGTTTGCATTATGGACTTCTTGTGTGTAATTTAAGATCACCTTCATGAGCTCCTTTAAAAATAAATCATGCAATTACAGTATGCGTCAAAAACACACTTACATTTATTAACGCATACAGGTCACTGGGACGGTGAACATTCACATGCTCTTCCAGGCCATGAGAGTAAAGGAACAGAATCTCAAAAACCTGGCACGAACTTGAAGAAGGCTCCACGGCCGAAATGTTGTGTTC